CAAAAACAAACAAATAACCCAATCAATTAATGGGCAAAAGAACTGAACAGACCCTTCTCAAAAGAGCTTTTAAATTCTTGAGCAAGAAAATGGCATGACACAAGTAGTGTTTAAAGCAAATTAACTCATAACTGAGATAGAAAGGATGTTGTGGCAATGATCCAGACTTTTAATGCCTCTGTGGGAACGGGAGAGGACTCATGTCTCACTTTCCCAGTAAGAGATTCTGAAAAAACAAATTAATATGCCCACCCCACCCTAAAATCAGTTACTATCAAAACATTCTCTTCTATACTTTTGAAGAATAGTCTTTTTACCTGAATCCTGAGAGGTCACATAAGAAATATCATTCACAGCCTTAAGGAAATTTGAAAAATCCAGCATTCCATTAACTATAAAAATGGTTCAGAAAGAGAAGAAAAAATCCCATCAGCAAACAATATCAGTAAACTCATTAAAAACATAAAATAAAAATACAAGCTAAAAATGTAAAAGGATTAACTGATGATGTTAGAATACCATTGTCCGTACACAAGAGCAGTCAACAATAACACTATATGTAAAGAAAACTTACAAGAAAAAAGTTACATGTTATAATTAAATAGTAAATAGTGCTCCAGCAATAACAGAAATGCTATAAACTAGGACTGTAGATTTGTAATGTTCTCGGTTTAAGACTCTAATGTTTATATGTATAATTTGATGTAAAAAAATATATATACATATATGTATATATAACATGCCAATTTTACCTGAGAAGTGATTAAGCATAATGGGTTTTATACTTAAAGGATAGAACTGATTTCACTGTGCTATAGAAAAGTGGTTCCAAGCCTTTCTGGGAGGTTATGGATCCAGTTGAGATTCTTGTGAAAGATTTATCTTACCTCATTTCTTTCCCTCTCTCCCACTAAAATACATGAACAAAATACTGCACAATATTAAAATAATACTTACCAGAGAAGTCATCTCATTTTTCATGTAAAAAATAATGACTATTTCTTAAAAGAAAAAAAGAAAGGAAATCTAAATTGTACAAATGATGATTTTTATAAGAAATTGTGGTTGTTTGGTTTGAAAAAGAAGTTGAAATTATGCAGTGCTTTTGTCATGAGGGCGCATAAGTCATCTCTAATGACAATCAGAGATGAAAATCCTGATTCACAGAATCTGCCAAAGCACAGAATCAGGGTTTTTAAAATTCACTTTCTGAACAAAAATAGATCCTTATCAAGAAAAATCAATTTGTCAAGATTCTTCAAGTTAAATAACTTTGATTTCATTTCTTTCTGTCTTTAAATAAATGAGGTTAATTTTGTCAGGATTTATAGATGTTATGGACACCAGAAAAAAATAATTATAAATCTGCATTTCTATTTATGTCATCTGAGCAGAAGTAAAAACACTTCAGTGCTTCCATCCAATTGCCTCCAGGCTTCTAACTGCAAAGAAAATGAAAAGGCTTATTTGCTCTCATTTCCATACCATAAAAATACTTTTTCCAGTATTAGGAAGCTTGTTAAGTTATCTGCCTCCAAATTTCTTCAGTGTAACAACTTGAAAGAGGGCTCTTCTTTCCTTCAAAATTAGTGAAACATCTGTCTAAATTTTAATCAACTACTTGACTTGTTTTCTGACTTCATTTTTAAATGTAGGACTGATGGTGTAATATGTCATTATTTAAATTTGTCATTTTTAAATTTTATTTTGAGACAAGGCCTCACTAAATTGCCAAGGCTTGCTTCAAATTTGTGATCATCCTTCCTTAGACTCTTGAGTAGCTGGGATTACAAA